CCTGTTTCCACCAACCCCCTCTACCTAACCCCCCCCCCCCACTCCTACCCCAAAAAAACCAATGTGTTTTTTTTTTTATTTCTAATTTGGTGTTTAGTGTTTATGTTGCAGCTCGACTAAATTCAAATTTGCATAAAAAAAATTCAAATTGAAGGATAAAACGCTTCATAACAAAGGCGACTTCGGATTAAACAAAAACCTATGTGTTAATTTGGCAACTAATGAAAGCAACCTCACATCTAAGTGCCACGTGATATTAACCCTTCAACTTTTCTTTATAATATTTTATTTGCCACACATATTTAATCACATAAAAAAAGTTTATTTTTAAGTTTTCAAAGTTGAGGGTGAGAGAGCAACTTAAACACAATCTACTAGATTCAATTATTGAGGCCAATTACCATTTTTTTTATAATCATATTATATTCAAAAAATTTGACTTGATTAATTTAGTTTCATATTACATATACGATATAATTCATTAAAGAAGAATCAATCATGTTTTATTCATAACTGGAAATTAAGATTTCTAATTAAGATTCATGTTGTGTATAACTCATTAAAGTAGAAGCACTCCTTATCCAAGGTTTTGTATTGTTAGGATTGAAAGTCGAGATCTCTAATTAAGATTTTTTTTATCCCTATCACACTATTTATAATGAACAATAACTAATAAAACTTCTACATAATTTCTACCAACTTTTCTCATTTAAATTAATTTTTGTGGGCATGTGGTTGGATTATTGATGAAAATGCATATTAATTAATTATGATTAAGTGAGTAAAATATATGTGCAAATATGTATTATATATTTATGATTAGGTGTAAATAAATATAAAATATATGGTAACATTATGTGGTGTTAGTTGAACTTTCTGTCATAAAAATTATGAATGGTGGTTGAATGATATCCCAAAGTAATATTTAGCAGGTAGTGACTAAGTTTATGATTTATTTTTAGAAAAGAATAGTTATTAAACAATTGATTAATCATTAAAATAATATTTAGTAATAATAAAGGCAACACTAATGTTGCACAAAAAACATTATGGAAACATCCAAACACAAATTGATTTATTTTTTAACTTTTAGGAGATGTTGCATTCACTTTATTAGTATTATAATAATTATTTAAGTGTATAATTACCATGATCTTTGAGGCATGCTTCATGAATTAGTAAAAATAATTAACAAAGACTTGTATTTGTATATTATTATGTGAAATGTTTGCATGTGTATGATTTATATATTTATTTATGTAGCGTTCACATTATACTTTCAATTTAATCACTATCATGTAAAAATAATTTGAGCATCAAATATTCTACGTATATTTACAAGAATTTAAGTTATATGCTTTAATAATAGGATATAGATTTTTCATAACATCATATTAAATTGATTTACTTTGTGTAAATATATTTTACATAAAGATAAGTCTAATAAGATCAATGTTGTAGTAAAAAAATTTTAAAAATGATATCAATACTTTAAAAAGTGAACAATGAATAAATCATTACGTGTGTAATTTTATAGTTATATCTAAAAATTTATTGTTATTTGTATATACAATTTTTAGTATCAATGAAACATTTTTTCCAATTTTATTTCGACTCTTTCTTTAAAAAAAGTCAAATTAGTAATTTTGAATAATAATTTTACAGATTAGAGTATCCAAATAATATAAAAAACAAAAAAAAATTATAAAAATTCGAGAACTCTCTCTTCAAATAAGATCGAATATGACATAACAAAACAACAAATAAAAAACACCACCACTAAAAACAAAATAACGAGACATTATCACAACTAATAGCTAAAATTAGCAAAACACAAAGCAACTCAACAACAACAAACTATCTAATTAATTTATATTTTTCACTTTATTAAATAAATTAATCATAATAAGTTAAATCGATTAATATAAAAACTCAAATTCACCACCTTATCTTTTGAAGTATTGAAAGATAAGCCCATGAAGTTTATCAAATTAAACATATGCCCCTAGCCGTATAAAAGGACCGTACCAATTACAGTGAACGGATAAAGTTTTTTTTTTTTTAATCTTTTTCGATCCACAAACTTTTCATCCTTTATAAAAGGACCCCTCTATTTCTCAAATTCTCTTCTTCTTTCTCTTGTCTTCCTTCTCGTATCTGTTCTTCCGTCTTTTCTCTGTCTCTTCTGTCAATTACCATTAGATCTTCGAAACCCATTAAGGGTTTGCTCAGAATTTGAATTTCTGTTCAGCTTCTTTCGAATTTTTTGGTATTTTTTGTGTAGTAGTGTGAGGAATCTTGGTGGGTTCTTTAGAAGTGGATGAGTGAGCTGGTAGTGGAGTTTTTTCAGTGTGTTTAAGTTCCTGAATTGGGGAAAAACGAAGAGGATTTTCGGTTTTGGTGATACGGAGCAGCTGTCGGTGGTAGAATTGCAGCTGATTTTTGGTTAATTCTGGTTTTGGTGTTTGTAGTTTGGGTTTGATTTGATCTTTGGTGTAAGATCTGGGAAAAATTAGAAGAAAGTAGAAGTGGATATAGTGTAGGCATTTCTTGAGATTATTGGTGTATTGGGTTGTTGGGAATTCTCGAAATTATGATGCAACAAGATCATCGCAAGAAGGTTTTTATCTCTTTCTCACTGTGAAAAAATTGATTTTGTGTTACTCAAGAACCGAGGGTTAATCGGAAACAACCTCTCTACCTTCCGAGGTAGGGGTAAGGTCTGTGAAAATTTACCCTCACTAGATTCTACTTGTGGGATTGCATTGGCTATGTTGTTGCTGCTACTCAAGGAGAGATCTTGAAGAAAGATGAGGGTGTTGTTCATAATTTTTTACTTTTCGAGAGCTTAGAAGTTTTAGCTCAACAATGTTTGCATGAATTGAATATATAATCACCATAAGAAAAAATTGAACTGAATCTAGCTGAAGAAATTTGGGTTTAGTGTCAGTTGGAATTCTTAATTTCTGGTGAGTTCTCTTAGTAAGTGTTTGGCAATAAATTTGATTGAAATTTGAGAAAAAAAAACAGTTTTTGAAGCTGAAGTTGTAAAATGGTATTTGGAAGTAAGAAGTTGTGATTGGACATGCATTTTGATTGTGAAAAAAAGTTGAAGGTTTGTGTGTGGAAAAAGAAAATTCACTTGATACGCTGGTCTAGATCATCAAACTTGAAAAACTCTTCAAAAACTAACCAAAAGATCACTCCAATATATAACCAAACAATGTTTTGAAATGTTTCTTGAAAAAGAGAAGGAAAAAATCCCCATATCCATACATGCCCTTTCCTTCAGTTTCTTGATTGTAAGAAGCATAAGTTTTTTCTAAAAAAAGTTCAGGTCCATATTGCTGTTAAAGAAAGCAGCTTTATTAGGGTAGAAATATTTTTGTTTTTGGAACTTGAGGGTATGTAGGTGAATCACTTAACTAGTCTTCTATTTGTTGATGTTATTTAGCATTATTAAATCTCTAGTTGCATTACCCTTTATGAGTGAAAAAATGGTTCTTGGAATTTGTGATTTTATTTGTGTTTGAAGACAGCCTTCTAGTTACTCTTCTCTCATAGTTTTGAAGAATGTTTTCATTTTGCTTCTTAGGAAAAAAGTAACCTTATGATTGAGAAGGTTTCTTACTCTTTACTTCATGCTAGTTGGTCTATTTGTTGAATGAGATCAAATTCTTATTTTCTTGTCCTTTGTTTGGTTGTGAAAGTAGATCAAACTCTGCTTTCAGTTGATAACCATTCCTTGTTTCTCATACTGTGAATGGTTTGCTTATTAAGTGATACAAATCATATTTGTAACTTGGTTTGGTGGACAACCTTGTGGAAGTATAGTTCGAAATATCAATGTAAAAATTCCGTTGTTTCATAACAGGTTCCACTTTGTCAGTGGAAGTATTTATTTGGTACTTTCTTTAATGTTTCAGAATACCAAAGAAGTGGAGTTCTTTACAGAGTATGGAGAGGCAAATAGGTATAAAATCCTGGAAGTTGTAGGGAAAGGAAGCTATGGAGTTGTTTGTGCTGCCATTGACACTCATACTGGAGAAAAAGTGGCAATTAAGAAAATAACTGATATTTTCGAGCACGCCTCTGATGCTATTCGAATTTTGCGCGAAATTAAATTGCTTAGACTTTTAAGGCATCCTGATATCGTGGACATCAAGAGAATCATGTTACCACCTTCAAAACGAGACTTCAAAGATATTTATGTTGTTTTTGAGCTTATGGAATCTGATCTTCACCATGTTATTAAGGCTAATGATGACTTGTCACATGAACACCATCGCTTTTTTCTATATCAGATGCTACGAGCACTGAAATATATGCACACAGGTAAATTATCTTGTGAATGTGGTAACTAGTACTTTTTCCCCCCTCTCTGAGCGGGTATGAGGTATTCTATATTATCAATGTCTGACTTGTATGTATTTGTTTCAGCGAATGTGTACCATCGAGATCTTAAGCCGAAAAATATATTGGCAAATGCAAACTGTAAACTCAAAATATGTGACTTAGGATTGGCAAGGGTTTCATTCAATGATACTCCAACCACAGCACTTTGGACGGTATGCTTTCTTTAGATCTTTGTCCCATCCATGATCAATGTCAGTAATGGCATTTTTATTTTTCTTGATATTGGGTAAACTATACTTGAAGTGCAAAATCATGCATTATTTATATCTTCAGTTTTTGATGTAATAATTAATTAACTGTGTCTTTTGACACACCATGCAGGATTATGTTGCTACAAGGTGGTACAGGGCTCCTGAACTATGTGGATCTTTCTTTTCCAAGGTAGTTCATGCTAACAATGTGCCACTTGCTGTCTTTTAATTAATAATTTCTTAGCAGGTGGTAGTTTTTCATGTAATAATAATACACTCTACGTCCCTTCCAATACATTCATCCCCGGGGCTTGGACAAGGAACAAGGGTATAGAGAGAACCACCACCAAAGATGGTGCACATAATTAGTTGAAACGGAAAGTTTACATGAATAGTTCTGTATTCGATTCGTTTGTCCCTCTTAGGATTGCAGGTTTGGCCATTCTGTAGTCAATCATTTTATGCACTAGGCCAGGGATTGAGCATTTATACTGTTAGTTGTTTCGCTAGTTTTAGTTAGTTTGATGCCATTGAAGCATCATGTATCGGTTCTTATTTCCCAATAGCTATAGGAAGGCAAAAAGGTACTTGTCCCACTCTTCTTGCAGCGTCTGATGTGCTGATGATACTGTTAGAAACTTTGGTATTTTGGTTAGAATACCAATTTTATATAAGTCAATACATTATAAGTGTATTTGAGTGATGTGTAGATTACAACCGTTCTTGTTCAGGGAGGACTATTGAACTCTCCTGGAAGTTGAATTATCTATTCTTCAGGTAACTGTGTCAGGTCCTGCGTTAATTTTTCTGCGGGGTCTTACTGATGTTTTTGCAGATTTGTTATCTAAATCTTTATCTTGTGCTTGCATTCCTTCAGTATACACCTGCCATTGATATTTGGAGTATCGGCTGCATTTTCGCGGAGGTACTGACAGGAAAACCATTGTTCCCGGGCAAAAGTGTTGTTCATCAGTTAGATTTGATGACTGATCTTCTTGGGACGCCATCAGCTGATACCATAGCTGGGGTAAGAACCTTCAGCCTATTTGGTTTTGGATGGATAAGTGGATGTCAGCCTTATCTTGCAACATATTAATATTGGAGTCCTCTCTTGAGTGTAGGTTCGTAATGAGAAGGCAAGAAAGTATTTGACAAGCATGCGGAAAAAGAATCCAGTTCCTTTTACAGAGAAATTTCCAGGTGCAGATCCTCTGGTGCTCCGATTGTTGCAGAGGTTATTAGCATTTGATCCAAAGGATCGACCTACTGCTGAAGAGGTATTTTTGCCTCCTAATATGTCCCTAATTTTAACATTAGCATAAATGGTATCCTTCTATTCTCATCCTTACCTTGCTCTCATAGTTGGTTCTAATTTTGCTTCCGCGGGTTCCCTTCCTCTTCCTCCATTTCCTTTAGGCTTTGTCCGATCCTTATTTCAAGGGACTGGCCAAGATTGAGAGGGAACCTTCTTGTCGACCAATCTCAAATCTGGAATTTGAATTTGAGAGACGAAGGCTAACAAAGGAGGACATTAAGGAACTAATTTTTCGGGAGATATTGGAATATCATCCTCAACTCCAAAAGGATTACAATGCTGGAAATGATGGCACAAATTTTCTCTATCCTAGGTTCTAACAAGCTCCTTGACTCATTTTATTTCTTATTTTAGTTGCATATTTTATCTTATTTCAATTTGTGATTAACTTTGTGGAAGTTGTTTACATTTGCAGTGCAACAGGTCAGTTTAGAAGGCAATTTGCTTATCTTGAGGAAAATAATGGTAAAAGTGGGCCAGTTATTCCTCTTGGAAGAAAGCACGTCTCTCTTCCACGGTAAGATTATACAGGATTCGTTTTTGTCAATTTTGTTGCTTAGTTTTCACCAGTACAACTTTGCCTCATGTAAGCTTCTCTTTGTTCTTTTGTTGCTTATATTTATTGGAGAAGTGATTGTGATTGAGGAAGCAAGACAAGTTGCTTACAAAGTTTTTAAATCGTTCAGGTTCTTGGGAATAACAAGAAGTGTTTCATAGTGGGAATTACTGTCCGTGCTGTCTCATATTTTCTTTGTTTTTCTCGGGCTGAATCACATATGTTCCTTAAATGTGTGCAGATCTGCGGTCAATTCCAGTACTGATCCCCCCAAAGCTAGGCAGAACTTCTCTGTGTTTGATCATACACAAGTAACAGAAAAATCATCTACTGATGTCAGAGTCGCAGAGAAAATTTCAGGAACTATACAAAACATTTCACGACCACCACATCGAGTCCATGCAGGTACAGTTAAACACGTATTTACTGTTTGGTCTACTACTGTCCGATGTGATATTATATCAAATGTCTGTCGATGAAACAAAGTCTATTTTGTTACCATGTGTAATTCAACTGCATCTAAATTTATCCTCCCATGGAATGGAGGAAATCAAAAGTGAATCAGACATGATCGTGTCTACACAGACCCTCGATGAATGTACATACATAGCACATGATTACATGATTGTTCTCAAATAGTCATTTCTATCCTTTTCAGCCAAACCTGGGAGAGTTGTAGGACCAATTTTACCGTATGACGGAAGAATGCTTACACAGAATACTGGCCTCCTTCCTCATGTCATTTCTCCACATTATATGTTCAGGATGAACCCGGGGAATCGAGAGAAGTGTGGGACAGAAGCCAAGGACACCACTCAAGTTAGACCCCTACCTGCACAATGCAACATGAGTGTTGAGATGAACACCAACCCGTATTATCCGATACAAGAAAAAGTAGCACAGTTGGGTGGTCAAATTGCAATAGATGCAAAACTACTACAGGCACAAACCCAATTTGGTGCAGTTGGTGCTGCAGCTGTTGCAGTTGCAGCTCACAGAGAGGTTGGCACCATCCAGTATAGCCTGACTTAGCAAACTGTATCCAGACGTTCTTTCAATGAACGGAGTAAATCCACGTTGGAGGTGAAAGAATTCTAGGACTGCATGTTCATCTAACCAAGCAGCCCTATCGAAGATTCAATGATGAAACATACATCATACGTCTGGTTAGGTCTCTTTGCCTAAATTTTAGGCATTTCTTTGTTCAGTTTACCCTGTGAGTTAGTATCTATGCTCCTGTAAATTTTAGGCTGTAGTAGCTACGGCATTATTGATTCTATCAATGAATAAAAACTATCGTTCTTCGCACCATTGCTTCCTTGCATGTCATTTTTTTTCTAATTGATGAGCCTTTTTGTTGTGATCTGATCCGAATTGTTTTTAATACAACAACATACTCGGTATAATCCCATAAGTGGGGTCGAAGGAGGGGACAATGTACACTGTGGAGGTGACGGTGACATTTTTCAATCCTTTATTCTTCTCTGTTATATTGACTCTTTGATGTTTTACACAATCCCTTGGGGCAAAGTATATAAAAAATGTTATTGCACCTACATCGGATTCTTCAAAACAAAATATACTACCTTCTGAGGATCTGACAAGCACATGTGATATTTTTGAAAAGTTCGAGCAACATAGGTTTTTTTTATATAATTTGCCACTAGGAACTATGGAGAACCAGGATCCTTGTATTATCATAAAGTAACTCGGTGAGATTGAATTCTTGAACAAAATAGGAAAAAGGGTCAAATTTGCTCTTGTACTATCCGAAAATGAGCAACTTCGTGCTCCGTTACAATTTTGGTCTAATCTCCGCCAATAAGGAAAATTTTCGATTTGTCTGACCCTTCACAGAGTTCTAACTTGAGGTTAAATTTAAATCATGGTAAAAAAATTGAATGTTAAATTTGGTCACATGGAATTTCACCGATTCATGGTGAAGTTGGTAAGTTTTACATAACGAGCTCGATCGAAAAAAACTTAGACAGGAAAAATCATGTAGAGATTTGATTTCATCTTCAACTTGAAATAGAATTTAAAGTTAAAAAACTTTTGAGGCATATTTGAAACAATATTTATGACAAAAACTTAATTTCAATTTCAATTTCAATTTCAAATATCTTTTTTTGAAATACATTATTCTACTACTATAAAATGTCTTAATTGTCTCAATTTATATGATAGATCATTAAGTACATCTATTTACATTTAGATCTAAGTAACTATTTGGTTTGAATAGTTTTTAAGCATAAGATTTTGATTGAAGTTTTAATATTATTAAAGAGGTATTTTTGTGTGGATAATTTTTGTCACCCCTTTATTCACGAGCAAAGGTCACCACCGCTAATTACATTTGTCATTATAATCACCATCATTGTCAATCACCATAGTCGCCAATTACATTCACCAACCACTCCTATCATTACAACCATAACTCACAACTACTGATGCTACCAAGCACTGTTGTCAGTCGTCATCGCTACAACACTTACCAACTCCATCATTTTAATTATATATATCCATTGTCGCCACGATCACTGCCACATCTACCATCACTATCAACTACTTACCACCACTACAATCAGACTCTACTGCATACCAACCATCTCCATAATCACAAATAGCACAACCGTCAACTATCATCAACACCAACAATTACTGACATCAATCAATTTCATTATTACAACCATCACCGTCACTATCAACTACCATCGTTACGCCAATCACTACACAAACCACACCATTACAATTATTATCACAACCATTAGTAGCCACTAAGACCACAATTATCGCCATCACTACAAATCATCTCGCCATCACTAATGAACATAAGTGTTTGATTTTTTATCAAATAATAATTTAATTTAATTAAATTTGTATTTTTCTAATATAAAATAAAATAAAATTCATCATATGCAATTTGCATGGATCATAATTAATAGAGGCAGAAGTCTATCCTCCTTTGACTGATTTATCTCATTTAAATAACAAATGGAGTGGAGTGTAAGTAGTGCATTCAACAATATTCAATTCCCAACCTAATAATTAAAGGACTTTTATGTGTAAGACCATAATAGTCATGGGTTCTCCTGTTTTTCATCTTGAAGATCTGTGCAAGCTCAAACTTCGATTTCCAACTAGCTCATAGTCTAAATAAACTTCAATTATATAAATGAAAGAGAATCTTGACGTAACTGATAAAATTATTGTCATATGAAGAATATATGAGTGGTGAAAACAGTTTCTTACGGTCACAAAAATGTTAGAGTAAGATTGTATGTAATAAATCCTTGTGATCTTGTCTTTCCTCGGATACTATGCATAGTAAAAATTTAGTGCATCGCTATTAACTATCATTTTTTTTTCTTAATTACCGAAAACATACTTGAGGATATGTATAAACTTATTTTTAAAAAGATAAAATTTGGATCAAAGCTATTGATTTATGTCGAGCTCATACCATCAACTCTACAACCGCCCCTAATAGATTGATGATCACTAACTTGAATTGGTCATGAGTACATGTTTTCACTCCAAACATAATTTTTTCATATCCAAAACTCGAACACGAGATTTTTTATTAAAGATGAAGAGACCTAAAATTTTCAACCATTCCATCAAAATTCATGTTGGTGTTGCATATGTTAAATCACAATCATAATCTAAATGTAAACACTTTCTACACATCACCCTCCTAAAACTTGACTTGTGGGATCACCATGAATTTGTTATTGTTGTCGTTATCACTATTAGTAGAGGAGCCAGGTAGGGTTGACCAAATTACACTGTTTATATATGTATATACCTTTTCATATTTTAAACTCTCTAGGAGCAGTGGCGGAGGTAGGATTTTTAATAAGGGATTCAAAATCTGAAGAAGTAAACCACGAACTAACCGAAGAGGGTTCGACATCTACTATATATACATAAAAAATAATGTTAACCATGTATAAATAGTATTTTTTTCCAGCGAAGGGGGTTCATCCCTAACTCTATGCTAGCTCCGCCCCTGTCTAGGAGTTGTTTGATAGACTGTATAACAATTATTTTCAATATGGTGTATTAGAAATAACAAGCCTTGCATAACTCTACAAAAAAATATTTGTTTACAAAAATGCCCGCGAGGAATTTGAGTGGTATTTATATCATTAATCAATTTAATGCATGTGTTGAAACCTTTTGTATTATTAATACATAAAAAATTATGGTATTAGTAATACACACCTCGATACACAATAGAGTGTAGAACTAGTGCAAGACTAAAAAAGTATAACATACAAAGTTAACGCATGCATTATTTTTTCTAATACACTTTACCAAACGAGCTCTTAATAAAAATACTGACTCCGCTACCGATCCCTATGTATATATAAATGAGATCATTCCTTGATTCCTTCTACATGATATATCTCGTGAATGGCTTTTAATTCCTCTCCAAAACCAAAACGGTGAGAAGATAAATGCTAGCATCAAATTATGTGTCGGTGAACTACACAACAAACTTTACACCAAATTATACAGAGCAACCTCTGTTTTTTTTCTCTTTAGCATTTCATCAAACACCTTGAGTGCATTTCTGAAAACAAAAAAAAATGGAGTCAATTTTATGGAACTTAGAAGACAAATGGAAGCTCTCAACTCAAGAATCAATTGCATTTTTCATTTGCACTTGTTCCTTAATCATTGTAATTTGCTTAGTTACTGCTTTTTTTAAAAGAAGGGCAGCCACTAGGAGAAAGGGGTTAGTGGGCCAAGACCCGTGTAGCGCGGATATCGATGTAGAATGGTCTGAACCAAAGTTACTGAGTTCGAACACTTCGGTGAAGAAAGTGCTGACGAGTACGGTGAGGTGGAGTGGGCCAAGTAAGTGGGAGGAAAATCGGAGCACGGAGAGAGTTTCTCCGTTACTCGAGGGCGAGTCTGGGCAATGGCATAGCCACAACTCGGACTCGCCTGTGTGGCAAAGGCCAATATTGATGGGTGAAAAGTGTGAGCTGCCGAGGTTTAGTGGGCTTATTTTGTATGATGAGAGAGGAAGGCCGGTTCATCATGTTGACAATGATCAATTCAATGTTAATCAGGTCATTCAAATAATATCTATATATTAGAGTAAACTCTTTTTTTTTTTAAACTATTAGATGGAAATAGTAACTAACATGTTTTTATAGGTTATAAAGTACGTATGGTGTTCGAAATATTTAAAAATATTGTTATATCTATATTGAATCCTTCGAAAATATACTTTATTTGAAAAATTCAACATGCACCCCAAAACAATTTCGAACAACATAGTACACTATTATATTTGATAGTGTAAATTTTTTTTTGCACTAATGATGTATATATTTTAATTCTACATATATCACGTGTTTGTGAGAAATTTCTTTTGCAATTAGCTAGTGAATAGTCTTTCTCTATATGAATTTAAATCAGTCGAATCACTCATAGGTCACGTAGAGTTAGCTTTGAGAACCTATTGTTTACTCAAATGACAAATTACTTGCTAATATTGGGAATAAATGATCCTTGAATGGAAGGATTAGATGTGTATAGGATTTATAAGTTGATCTAATTAAATTTGGAATTGATGTATAATTAATTGATTAGTTGACTTTCTCTTTATATCATTTTGCATGTGGTATTTAATTAGATATAAAATTTAAGAAAAAAAAAAGTTTAAGATTTTTGTCAATATACCAAAAATGCTTTTCATAGTATGTGGTTTTAAAATGGAAAGATTGAGCAATTATTTTTTACATTTTGAATTCTTTAGCAAAATTTTTTGACTCCGACACAAATTACGATGCAAATATTTTTTTACTCACTCTTTTGCACCTACATTTTCAGGAAAATGTGGATGTTGTTGGGAGAACTACTCTGAAGGACTTGCTGCTGTGACTTTTGCTTTAATATATTCACAAATTTTTGTATAGAAAATATGTATCAACTTATGAGAAGGCAAAATTAAGCAAATCCAGCATGTAGATGCATATTTTTTTATTTTCTTGTTGACTTATGTGTTAAATTTTCCGCAGAACTCAGGATTCTAAGTTTGAAGTATGTTATATACGAGATAAAGGTAATTCGGAAAAGGACTGTACTAGATCAGATTCATTATGTACATATTTATCTTATATTTCTATAAGAGATCATTTTCACAGTTTGAACTTGTGAAAAAAAACATGATGATTAAAATTTGATTAAATTCAAATTTGCAATGTCGAAAAGTCCTTCACTGAAGATTAATTAGATTTAATTAAATTTCATACTAATCAAAATAAAAATAGTATAGTAATTGAGGGATCAAAAGTGTAAAAGGAATACTATTTTTGTTTCCTCAATTATTGGTAAATTATGATTTTAATCTTTGTGGTATATAACTCAATACATTTATTTTTAACTAATAATTAAAACGTGCATTTTTGGTCCTTTTGAGTAGGAAATATATCATTTTTGAACTATTTTGATAATTAATACTTATTCTAAAATATGGAATAACATTACAAGTTTCACGTAACACATGAGTAACTAAATGATGAAACATTTAATAATTCTGAAATTTTATGAAGGTTAATATATTTAATCAGATTTCATAACGATTAAAAAGATAGTTTAGTGCATAAAATATTCTCTATTAGTAGAGTCTAGTAAAAGATCATACTCCAAAGAATGTGATGTATACAACCTATCCTAATGAAAACATCAATATCTATAGCTCGCACTGCTCAAACACATAACGTATAAATCATATAAGAATAACTTCATCGTTACTCCAAAGCTCCTAAATCAAAGGATCAAAAGTGTTATTAACCCAAATGCTAACCCGTTTTTGAAAGTCTAGATGTGTTGGAAGATATCATAATAAATAATACACTTTTTAACGTGTTCTTCAATTTTGAGTACATATAAGTAACATTTAAATTTAGGGATAAGGGTCTGAAAAATACCCCAACTTTGGTCGGATTTGCTGTTGCGATACTAAACTTTCATAAGGACCTATTACCTCCCTAGACTATTTAATACCGTATTTTAAACATATATATTTGCCCACGTGGACATAAAAAATAATGCAAAATTATAAATAGTAATGTGTCCACGTGGGCACATATATACCTTTAAATTACACTATTAAATAGTTCAGGGGTAAAAAATACGGTATTAAATAGTCTAGGGAGGTAATAGGTCCTCATGAAAGTTTAGTATCGCAACAGCAAATCCGACCAAAGTTGGGGTATTTTTCAGACCCTTATCCCTTAATATTATATTGTTGCATTATTTCGCTTCAAAAGTAAAAACTAAAAAAAGACAAGTTAGTAATGGTTCTTTTCTTTTTCTTTTTTCCTGTTGTTATATTATTATTGCATTTAGGGGTGTTCATGGTTTGGATAAAAACCGATCCAAACCGAAAAACCAAACCAAACCGATTAAATGAACCGATTTAATTTGAGTTTTGGTTTGGTTTGGTTTTAGATTGTTAAGAACCGATAGTATTTGGTTTGGTTATGGTTTTGTTCGAAAAAAATCGAAGAAATAACCGAACCGAAC